AACTGGAGTTTTTGCTGTGGATGCATGGAGTAGCAATGTTGCTGAGGAAGGAGAGACTTGTTCTGTACATGTAAGTCGTCTTGTGGAGAGATTGATTTCGTCTCGTTGTAGATTATGTGCTTGGCCTTCGTTGTGTTTTCGTTTTTGTAAAATTGGAACGAATTTTTTCAAAATTGATTTTCTATTGTTCCTGTGATGTGTTGCTGAGTTACTCAGGAAGGGAAAACAGCGTTGGACCTAGCCAGGCAATACAATAATGAGGGATGTGTGCAGTTGCTGGTGGATCACGAGAGTGCGAAGGTATGTACAGTAGACTTGACTGTGAGTGACTGAATTTTAGGGTTCACGGCTTGCCACTAAAAGCACCCGTCATGTGCGCCTCCATTTTGGATTATGGACGCGCGCTACAGGCTGCGACAGCGCCTATCGAAGTAAAAAATATCAACTCTAAGTCTAGCCGGAGAGCGTACTTTTTGAATTTTTCCTTGGCTTCAGAGTTCAGTGGCTTCACTTCACTCGGGCTTTGCATTTTTGCTTTGGTTTTTCTGACTGACCTGGACTTGATGATGGCGGCGGTGGCGGTCTTGGCGAAAGATCCAGTTCCATCTGAGACACTCTGTCGTCTTTTCTTATCTGCTGAGATTCTGGCAAAGCGCAGCTGCATCGAACCTGACTAGATGTAGCTGCACGCATCTTTGTTTTCCCTGCAAATCTCGATCTGTTGCTCTTCTTGCTGTTTGGCCGCTGATGCCAAGGAAGAAAATATTCTTCCTGTAAAGAGGCCAAAACTGAGCAAGGGCACATCAAGATATGTAGGGTATACAAAGAAAAAGAAATGTCATGGTCGTTTCAGCAGCTCACGACAGCCAACACGCTCCATCGTGTCGGGATTGGAAGTATCCAGCACGGCTGTTCCGAGCGCTGCTGCTCTTGTTATTATTCTTCTTCAGAAATTCTGCACACCTTGTTGGCCAAAGTACGCGCGCGCGCGCGTGCACAGACAATAGATGCGCTGAGCCGTTTCTTGTTCGATTTTGACAAATAATGGCTTGTTGTTTTGCTCTCGACCTTGGCTATCCTTTTACCGTTCAATATTTTGCGGAAACGCAACGGCTCCCCTGGTTTTTTAGCCGAACTTTGGCCAAAGTTACTGGAAACCCGGAACTCGTTTGAAAAAATACGAACGGTGGAAGTCTTGGAACGTCTTTCGTGCGTGTGGATTCAAAAATTCAGGCAGTTTGAGCCAACCGTAATGAATCCCGTAGAGTTGAAAGTGAGTGATATTGATGGTAAAATGCGATTTAAGCACTGACCGATTGTGTGGTACAGTATATGCACGCGCCTGTCACGTGCATGATGTAGCTGGCGACGCTAGCATGCCAATCCGTGAACCCTAAATTTAGATGTCTACAGTAAACATTACAGCGTGTCGTACATTTGATTGGTTGAACTATGCAGTGACTAGGTGTCACGCGAGGTGCACCTCCCACCATCATGTCCTACATTTGGACAGCTGTCCATGAGATCAAGAGTACATAAACACGAGAGAGTGTAACTCCGCTTGGTCTGGCCATGGCGGAATGTTTCATTTTGTTGACTTTTCTGGAGATGACGAGTCCTACCGTACGAGGCATGTACTACGAGTCTGTGGGCGCGTGAGCTTGTACAGTTTTCGTTAGGGGTCGTCGCAAAAGTTTTTTTGTCGTCTCTGAAACGAGAGCATCATTCGTTTTGGAGTGGGAGGGGGGGGGGGATGCGGGTGTGAGCCAAAATCACAACTCGACCGACACTGTACATTGTACTTGTACATGCATGCGATTATCGTCGTCCAGCATAGCAAGCTGCGTTCGTTTCAGAGTGGGGGGAGGGGTCCGAGTACGAAATAACGATATTGTCTCCATGGTCATAGCCAACCTGAGATTGAACGGGGGGGGGGGGGGGGGGGGGCTGGGAAAACTATTAGGGACCATTAGCAAGCCGTGAAACGTCAACAGGAACGAGTTCAACGGAACGCACGTGAAACACGACGTGATTGAGAATTAGCTTCTCGCGTTCACAACCCGTCTACGCGAGTCGGCTGCTTTCCAGTTTCAAACAGTTTTCTGATATTTTTACTGGCAATTATTTTTGCGAACTTCTTCTTGAGAACAATTCTCAGCCTGACTGACTTTTACCCGAATGAAAGTGAAAGAAACCCCATGACAGCCACATCGCCGATGGATGGGTGCAGCAAAGGGTTGTGTTCACGAGGTCCATGCCAAAACATAAATGAACGAGCAAGCTGAAGTTTGTCTTGAACAAGCATAAATGTTGGCACTGTGGTTACCCTCGATCCTGTTCTGTGTCATGTTAGTAACGGCTATGCCAAAATCAATGGTCCTACTGGTTGTTTGGTACGTTTCGCCATCGTATTTATTCCAACAAGAATGGGTGAGGCATTTTTCGAAATTTGAAGAAAATCGCAAAGACCAAACGAGGCGCGATTTACGGTGCTATACTCCGCTTCATGGTTGAATTCGCACGTACTTGACTAAAACCCACTTGTTGCGGTCATGGCGAGTAGACCCCTCCGAACTCGTCAAACACGAGTATGTTTCGCGTGGTCAGGCCGGGACTCTAACCCAGCCCCCCCTTCGCGTTGCAGTTTCACGGCTTGCTAATGGTCCCTATCACATAGCATTGTCGGGTTTACGGGGGGGGGGGCACGCTCCCACCCCCTTCAAAACATTTCGACCTGGGTTTGAAAAAACACCAGGCTGCTACATGCACCATGTGCACAGGCGGTAGACTCTACGCGGTGGGAAGCAGCGTCCAAAACCGGTTGCACAGACCGTCGGTGTGTGAGCGGCATTGATTGCACTGCGAAAGAAATGATCGACTCTGTACGAGCTCTATGCTTTTGTACAGATTCCAGGACACGCTCGATGCGTCTTGAGAAAGGCGTGCAGTGATGTGCTGAACGCAGCGCTGCCCAAGTGGGACAAAAACAAAGCTTGTGATCGTCAAGCGCCTCTTTTCGCAACGTTGTACAACTAAGTTTGGAGGATGATCCCCTCCAGATTCGAATCGCGAATTGGTTGACTTGAAGACTTTTCTGCGAAGTCTCAGCGACATCCATGGACCAAAGAAGACAAGCTCTGGCCAACAGAGCCTTGATGGATTTTGCAAAGCGTTCTTGCGACGGCGCGATTCCTGTTCCAACAGGAAACAGTGGGAGTGATCAAGTGGTTGCCAGTCCAGTTCGGAGCGGGCTGACATTCCGCCCGACGCGGAGGTGCCAGTACAGGATGGTCATCATACATACTAGTCAGACTATCGGAATCGCTGTTTTCTGTGTTCGAGCATTGGTGCCACCCTTCCTGCGCAATGTCTACTTGTTACTGAAGCCGTGGTGGTCTCGGACTTCGTTGGAGCTCTCTTCCGCACCAAGCAAATTCATCGCGCTCCGCACTCTTCCGCCCCAGAGCGCATATCGTTTTTCTGCAGTTCGTGCCGTCCCATACCGTTCGCGTGGCTCTTAATCAAGACTGCAAGCTCGGGTATAAGAATCCTGGTATCTCTCCTGGATACGAAATGCTGAAGTTGACGATGGCAAGAACAAAGAGTTTTCTCAAATTCCTAAAATGCGCTACTTGTGGCGCATGTTGCTACAAAGGTAGCAGGTCTGAAAACACCAACAAAATTAGTGAAGCCATTGCCAGGGAAAGAAGTTGCGGAACTACTTACCCTATCCCGCTGGATGGTCGTTGTAGTGCACTTGAAAAATGCTAGCTTGCCTTCATCGCCTGCCACCTGGAGGCATGGATCGCTTGAAAACGAAGTTTCTTTACCTGAATTTGAACGCGCGTCTTGTTCAGCACATTGTTGAGTGCTGAAGGGCCTGCCCCAAACTCTGATGAAGACGTCGACCTTAGCTGCAAGTGCAGCGAAGCGGGAGGCCACAGACTAAAGCTTGGTCCGTCGACAATGCCCTGCCTCAATTTCTAGCTGATTTCTTTGCCCTTCGAGTGGACAAAATATATTCGAAAAATCGCTCTGGGAAGCGGCAATTTTAATGATGCGGAGGAAGTAAGAACTAATGTTCACTTGAAAGTTGAACCCATGTTATGATAATGAAAATATGAGAGTTCATTCTTGTAAGTAGTATATTCTTTTACTCGACCACGCTATAACCGATACGCACTGTAGTAACTGAGCATGAGATACTTTAATCTGTATAGTGTAGGTCTGGAAGAAATACCTGGCATGTAATCATTTTGTAATGTTGGATAGCTAGGTGCGTGACATACATCATTACAGTCATGTGCACCATGTCATCTCCCCCGGCCGCGACCCCCTCATCCAAATCCTGGACACGCCACTGCATGGTTGTGGATATATGTGGGGGGGGGGGGGGGGGATGGGGATGAATGCAGCACTCGACCTAAACTATATCCTATTCTGTGCCCCAAGCGCTAAATTTGGTGCCGGCCGGCTTTGTAGGGTACCACTGCATTTGATCAACCAGACGCCAAGTGTATGTGGTAATTGGGACCATTTGCAAGCTGTGAAACGGCAAGACGAATGAGGAAACTGTGTTAGAATCCCATCCTGACCACGCGAAGCACACTGGTGTTTGATGAGTTCGGAGGGATCTACTCGTAATGACCACAACGAGTGGTTTTTTTAATCCAGTGCGTGCGATTTCAACAAGGATACGGAGAATGCACAGTAAATTGTGCCTGCTTTTGTGACTCTTCTCAAGTTTCCAAATGTTTCACGCACTCCTGTTTGAATAAAGTATGATGGTGAATATACGGTGTACGAAGGCAAGGCACTTTCTCACTAGACAAGTGACGTTTGCTAATACTTGGTCCGCCAAGTTGCAATTGGCGCTTATCTTCGCACTAGATTTTTCGGTGTTCTGCCTGTGTCATACCGCATGGAACCACCGATTCACCATCCGAACATAACCACAGACCATTGCATCCGACAACATGGCAGCACAAACCACCACAGAAGTTGTGATCGGTTCGTTTGAATCTTTTTGACTGGAGCTGCCACCGACGTACACTTCCGTCACCGCAATAAAAGGTTGCAACCTCCGGTCCAGTCCATAAAAAGCTAAAAAAGCGCATCGCTAACTTGAATTTGAGGACTCGCACTGTACAGCGCCTTGTGAAGAGTTATCACCAGCAAATCACCGACGAAGAAACTACAGATCATATCGACATCTCCAGAATGCGAGATCAATCCGGCAAACACACTCTGAAGCTCACAGAGGACCTGGCAAAGGAGCTGATCAAAATAAACACCAACTCCTGAGGGAAACTCTCGTATAAACGGCTTGCAGGGATCTCGCAGAAAAGAGCTACGCCTGCTCCAGAGTTAGTGCGACACTGGTGCAAGACGTTAGGTGCAGTACGCACAGGTGCTACATCAAGCAGAAGCTATCACTGCAGTACAAGCACCAGCGAGGGCAAATGAACGACCACCGATGCCAAGAACTCACACAACTGCCTGGCATTAGGCGTAACACCACACGCATACAATATGATGCCCGCTTGCACCCAAAAAAGTAATAAACCTAGAAGGCATGGCACCCCCACTACGGAAGGTGTATTTGTACCCTCAGCATTATACCTATGCATAATCATATGATGCCGCCGCTACCTCATCAATTGCTCTACACGGTCCCAGTGTCTGCTCTAGGATGGTAGGACAGCCGGGTACACGTGTACCTGGCGCAACCATTTCAACCGGGTCGGAACCGGGTACACATATACCTGGCGCTGTCTCACCAGCCGAGTCACATGCTAACTGGTTGGTTGGTTTATTTTAATTCGGACAATAAACGGGAACCAGGCCCAATGATATAAAGGCGGATGGATAAGCCGCATTTAGAAAAGAGAGGACAGGAATAAGAAGAAGAAGTATCTGACACATACAAGCCATGTAGTCAGTCCTTTCAAAGTTCGAAAGTGTAAAGTACCAACCGGGTCACAGTTGACCCGGTACTATATTTTCAACCGGGTCCAAGCGCCGCCCAACTGGGTGGATTACCAGGCTCACCCGGCGCTGGACCAGGGTACACGGTCCCGGTACAAGCTCGCCAAAACGCCCACACACACACACCGACACGCACAGTCGCACACACACACACACACCACCACCACCATGCACACACGCTCATAAGCACGCACCAGCATTCTCTCGACCGCCTCGCATTCATGTGACAGAAAATATACGCCCGCAGACCACCACAAGCTGCTCGCGTGAGCCCACATACCAATCACTAACACTGATACTGGCCTGGGAAAGCCCAAACGTTGGCCTTCAGTTACAGGTTAGCTCATTTTATTGGCTACTAGCCTGCCCGGCGTTGAGCCATGCATAATGCGCCTCCAGATCGCATCTGGTGCGTATGCACGTGCAAGCTGGGGATTCAAGCCATAGAGCACTTTCCTTTTGCCCGATTTATCTTGGTGGGACGCGTGATGGTTGTTGGCGCAAACTTGCACATCATTGTCAGCGAGCCTTTGAGCACATTGCGTTTGTTGGCCAAGTTTCCCCAAAAAGAGAAGGGCCCAAGTAACACCGAACGAGGTGACGGTAGTAGACTGATGGTCAATCCAGGACAGGGTGGGTTGCCCACGCTATCAGCGAGCATACTGCAGTCCTGACGAGGCAATGTTATGTGCACAGCGTCAAGATATACCGCGTCTTATCACCACACCGAGGGGCCATCTCACTCTCGGCCAGCGAGCCATAGAGTTGACGCGGTCCGCCGCCGCGCGAATGAATTTGTTAATGAGGTGCTCAATGCAAACAAAACTAGACTCCAGAACAAAGCGTTGACCAGCGAGTTCATAGGCCGGTGGTGAGTGCGGAGCAAATGGAAGCACAAGCCGTAATGCACTGATCGGGCCTCAAAAGGAGCAGGCAGGCATTTTTTGTTCAACATATGCCTGACCGAAAGAATAGCATGGCAGGCACAGATACGTCGGCATGAATGCGTGCGTGCACCCGGCAACCATGACTTGCCCCCTGCGGGGCGAGGGTAGGTAGTGAGTAATGACCAACCATATCAACAGAAAGCAATTTGCTGCCGCTATTCGATGTCACCCACAGGCGACAGTGGTGTCAGAACCTGCGGGGCAGGGTGCACCAATGCACCTTGTAGTCGGTAGTCAGAATTCGGAGGCATTGAAAACTGCTCTCCGTTGGTTACCTGGTATGTCGAATGTTCCCCACGGCACGCCCGCGCAGCAGCTGGGGCGTCTCGTCCCCTCAGCGGTAGCAACAGCTGCTCTGCCAACAGTGATCCGATGAACAAGTACCATCCCGACTAATAAATGGTCTTCCGGATGATCAGCTACGCTATCAAGTCTGCTCTGGAGACGCGGGGTGAATTCGGAACTACCCCCGAGATTTCTGATACCAGTGGCCACGATTTCTAACGAACTGTTTTGGCCAAATTGCCAAGCACAACGTCCGCGCAACTCGCGAACCGTGACATTACAATGATTCCCATGCGGTATGGCCCGCGTAGCGGATGGGCCATCTCGTCTGCCCAGCAGTAACAACCGCTGCTCTTTCAACACAGATACGACGAACATGTACAGTCCTGAACGACAACTGGGGTTAGGATGATGATGATGGGCGCGGCATAACTGCTCCACTAGTAACAGGGGAAATGTGTAGCCACTCCCATGTCAAACGCAAAGTCGCATCCGCACGGCCCAGCTGATAAATGGATAGGGCTTCGCCTGTCGCTCTGTTGCCAGAGTTGGAGCTAAATGCAAGCACTATGTTGAACGTGCTGTGTACAATGGACACTTGGAAATCACTGCGACGACAACCAGCTGCAGTGAATTATTCCAGTTTGCATCTTGTCTTGAGTATCTTGGCGACTTGTGGCTTTAGTAAGTGAGTTGAGTTTGATATCTACTACTGTGATACTGGACACTGGATACTGTAAGTCTACAAATTATCAGCACGGTTTAAATTTCAGCATCCGCAGGCCAAAATCCTTTTCTGCCCCATTAAAATTCAGCCTATACAGCTCCTGCCTGTATATCCTGTCATACTGTATAATGCATGTTACAATTTCAAACAAATCCATCCTGACAACTCTCAGCTCCATAGGCACATCAGGGCCACTTCCATGTCCTTTCCAAACTCTCCTATCATGCCTTGGAAACGCCACAACAACTCAATCTAGCATTTTTTTCAGCTTCTTGCTCAAACTCAACCGATTTTCACAATTCTTACTGCTCTGAAAAGCTGAGGTCCATGCACTTTTTTATGCCCATCCCGCGTGCCCCGTGCTAAATTGAAATGCCCTGGTATTTTCCAAAAAAATACAAGGTCTGAAACCAGAAAATTCGCGCTTACTTTGTGCCGTGAGTTCCTTGTTCATCTCGTTGCCTCTACTGCTCTAGGTTCATCTTTGTTCTGTCATCTTTGTCCTGTCATTTTTGTCACGAATAACCAACATCTATCCTGTATATCACAGTTCATTTCACCTTGGTAGTAGAAGCCACACCGACATTTATTTTGGGGGGGGATTACGAGTGCTTAAATCGTGGCTTATGTTCCGGAAAATACGATACGGAACTAAGGAAGAGAGAGAGAGAGAGAGAGAGAGAGAGAGAGACAGAGAGAGACAGAGAGAGAGAGAGAGAGAGAGAGAGAGAGAGAGAGAGAGAGAGAGAGAGAGAGAGAGAGAACATGTTAAACAAATATGTGTGATTTGTGCCTCTGTTTTTTCTGACTCTCTATGAAGGACGCCAAGCAGCTGCAGGCAGGTAAGTGACAGAAATTCTCAAACTTCTTTTCCGCCAAAATGTTACGAATGACCAGTGATGCACACGAATAGTCGAATAGTAATAAAGTTCGTTCGAAGAGCTGTACAATCATGTTCTATGTGTGGCATGCATGCTAGTTTTGTACGAGTACATGTGGACCCTGCGCTAACAGCAGTAGAGCTAGGGCCGCTGCTACAGATTACAGTACAGCGGTTACCGTACGTGTACTTGACGACGAATCCAGCCTGTGTGAGCGCGCGCCAAACAGTTAGTAGTAGTAACAATACAGTGCCGGCACTGTAGTACAGTTGCAAAGGACACGTGTAGTTGTACAAGTACAGTGCGTGCACTGTACTGTTGCGAAGTGGGAACCCATATTGCCTTCTTCTTTACTACTTTAGTTCGGTCCAACTCACCCCCCTCTTTCACTTTGAAGAACCGCCTGGACATCCAGTTCGTTTTTTGTGATAGCTTCTGGCACAGCTGGTCGTAGCAGCTCCGTTGAGGAGCACTCCGAGAAAGTTGATGGAGGCGCAAAAGTTGAATGCAAACTCTGCGAGACGAAGCTCGAGTTCAATGGCTCGGCTACGAGCTCAATGCGGGAAAATCTTCCCCGACGGCATGTTACTTGCTCGACGGCTGTAGCTGCCACGGATGCGAAGGTGTCCCATGCGAAAAGCGCAGACGCAATGCGGAAGTTTCTGGGCCGTCAAAAAATTTCAACGAATACTAGAATATTCGTTCGTTGAAAGATTTGATATTTGATAGAGTATTCGTTCTTGAAAACTGGGTTAGTGTGCATCACTGGTTGGAATACTATTTAGCATCCAATCCCTCACACATTCACACTCAGTCGGGGCAACAACGACTGACTTTGGAAACAATGTGTTACTTTGAGTAACTGGTCCCGTAATGCAAGAGCTCAAAGAGCTGGCAAGCAATGCTAGGCCGCTAGCAGCAACTTGCTCATGATGAGCAGCAACTAACGAAGAAAATATCCAGTTGGAAGCTATAGAGCTGTATGTCCCCAAGTAGTACCATTAGCAAGAAGATATGATGGCAGGGTTCTAGCCAGGTCAAAATAGTAGGGGGGGGGGGGGGGGCATGGGAACCAATTACCCTGTAACCCATTTTTGCATTTTCCGAAATTGTCTTGCCATGCAAAATTCAATGTACGGGGCAAACCCCCGACTTCACAACAGACAAATGTGCCTCTATGAACCCTCCAGTAGAGACTATCCACTACACTTTTCGTTGACTGGCATCAAAAAGTCCGAGAGGAAAATAGCAGTGTTGCAGAGAATATTCGAAAAATTGAATATCTTCGATTGCACAGAATATTCGAATATGCGAGTCAGAAGTCGAATATTCGAAATGCTACACTTCGTGTACAACTTTCCGTACAAAGTCTTAATTCGCTCATCGCAGCACGCTCACTGCATCCTTGCATCGTAGAATGTGCAACAGTCACTGCAATTGAGCAACAAACGACATCGTCAACATATTTTCGCTTGCCGCTGCTGCTGCCCAGTTTGACTTACGCGCCGTTTGTAGCTTGCACCTTTGCAAGAAATACTTATGTTCTTCTTCGTAGTTTGTAGCAGTTCCCGGTTAGTTTCGAATCGTATCAGTCCGCAATGCTTAGTTTCGAGTCAGTAGAAATTCGTGATGTCGGACCGTCAAGCTAGCTCCGTGTGGGAGAGTTTTGAGAGACTTGAGACTTCTGTTTCCGACGCAAGTCCACAAAATAGTTCATCCTGTGCATGGAATGCGAGGATGTCGTCTTCTTCCGCTCCGAAGTACATTAGGCTCTTCCTTCGATACATCGTTGACGATCCGTTTTAGGAGACTCAGTGCAACATGGAATCCAAACTCAAACGAATAAACTTTCATGTACTTGCAACAAAGAGTTGCGTCCAGAACAGTCCAGTCTACCGAGGAGAACAAGAACAGCAACTCGCGTCGCACTCCACTTCGTATTTTTTTGTCGCGGAATTCAAATTGCGATTTTCTCGACTTTTTCCACAAAAGCTGTGGTCATGTCTTAGCACGCGCTGGCTCAAATTAACAAGGAAGCGTAGTGTGCTGAAATGGGCTCGTCTGTATTGGTAGAATAGTAGAATATTCGCTCGTACTGTGCATATTTGTTAGAATATTCGTTCGTGATTTTGCTATTCTTTGCAACACTGGAAAATAATGATTATTGAGTGAACAGGGCACATTTTAGTGCTCTTTTATTGCTTGTTTTTTGGATGAATTGGGCGCAGCATCCGGGGCGAAAAGTGGTACAAGCATGGTGGTACTGGTGGTATCGTGTGTGACGCCCCTGGACTCTAAAACCCAGTGCCTCAACTGTAGCAACACCATAACAGGTGTCTCCTGTCTGCCAATATTCTGGTGATGGAGTAGTTATTGTGCGGGAAGCAATGCCTTTCAGACATACCGTAACATTGCGAGTCAAGCGGGCTTTCTCATAATACGAGTGCATGCAGTGAAGATGCACTCTCACTTGTTTTGCATTCCTGTTGCCTGTACTGTATGATTTCTTGCTAGTAATACAAAAGAAACAACAAACTGTAAATGTCACCTGCAGTTACGCAACATTTTTTGATGTGTGCTGTGCTTATCGTTGTGCCCAGGAGATACTGCTGTTCTGCCAAGTATCAGTGAACTCGAAGCAGCAGAGCAGGAGGCAGCCCGGTTGGGCGGTTCGACCGTCGTGCATTTCCTGCACGTGGCAATACTTGGTGCGGCACGCGTTGGAAAGACCAGCTTGCTGAAGGCCTTGCTTGAGAAGATGCACAATGAGAATGAACTCAGCACGCCCGGAATGCGCACGTCCTACACAACTACAAACATCTCTGATGACTGTCGATTCATCGAATGCCCAGACATGCCAGATGCTCTGAGTCGACTCTACGTCATCACCATGATGTGCAAACCATCCACTTCGAATCATTCCCAAGACAAAGAGACAACACAAGATGACAGAGAGAGAGCCACTGCAGGAGAGGATCCTGTGGCTGGGACCCATGCAGGACCTATGGAGGACAGCAGTAGCAGCAGCAGCAGCAGCAGCAGCAGCAGCGACAAACCAGCAATGCGCGAGGACATCCACAAGACCATCACAGGATTTCTCAACGCAGACCGGGTAAAGTACATCTCTGACCGGGCCAACACGCCCGACTATACTGTCATCACATTCCGCGACCTTGGAGGGCAGCAAGTCTACCAATCCGTGCAGCCCCTCTTCATGGCCAAAAACACAACCTTCATTGCCACATACAACTCTTCTCTGGACCTTCTAGAGACCCTTCCCAAGCTTGACGAATTTCAGGTCAGCCGGGAAGAATGTATCGAGCGGGCCACTCTACCGGCCAACGCGACTCGCCTAGACCAGCTGCTCGGCTGGCTCGACATGCTGCTGCTGAATACAAAAGCTGACAGCAGCACAGACCAGAGTGCTGCAGATAATGTGTTTGTAGTGGGGTGTCAGAGTGACAGGTGGAACAAAACCGATTTGCCTGATCCTTGTAAGTTACTTCAAGAGAAGATAAAAGGTACCCCGTACCAGAACCTTGTCTGGAACGACACTTCGCACTTCAAAATCGACAACACCAGATCCACTGGAAGTGCAGCGCAAGCAGATGAGCTACAGCGATTGAGAGAGGCCATCGTCGACCGCTGCCAGAAGAGCCAACGTAACATCCCTGTTCCATGGCTCCGATTCTGCATATCCATACACACGCTCAAGCAGGAGGTCTCGTGGCCTTGGATTTCCTTCAAGGAGGCAAAGTTCATAGCAAAGCAAGTCAAGGCTGTTCCACATGACTACAGTGACCGGCAAGTACAGCAGCTGCTGAAGTACTGCCACGAAGCAGGCCACCTGGCGTACTTCCCAACTTTCAAGCTGAAAGACACGGTCATCCTGGAGCCCCAGTTCATCCTGGACTGTGTCAATGCCTTTGTCTACATGAAGCCTGACCGAGACATCACAGTGAACGAAGCGCGGCGCTATCGTTCTGGGTTCATGACGGAGTCCCTGGCACGCAAAGCTCTTAACAAGATGTTCGAGGGTCAGTCTTACTGCGACCATGCAAAGGCGTGGCAAGCAGTCAGAGCAAGCAGTGATGGGTTCAAGCTCATTTTTGAAATCTTAGAATGGCTCTCAGTCCTGGTAATTGTGCAGGATGAGAGGTCTGCTGAGCACGAGTTTATTGTACCTGCAGTCGTCCAGGACATGGGCACGGACCCGCAGACGCCTTGTTCCTGTGTCTTCGTGTCCTTGAAGCACGCAAACTGCGATGAGTTGATGCGCTTTCCCGTGTTCCTGTATTGGCAATGCGTGGTGGAGGTGCTGCTTAAGTCACACATGCGCTCGTCTGCCACACTGTCACGGTGCAGCGTTCGCCTTCGCTGGAACAGCGATTGGCCGTGGCTGCACCTGCACTATACACGCTACGGCTTACAAGTGTACCTCGAATGCAAGGGCCGACATGGCGGCAGCGGAAAGTCTACGCTGGATGAAGTCCGGGCAATCGTGCTCACAGTGGTACGGAAGTGGGGCCTGCAGGCCGAAGTGATCAGCACATTGCCATGCCCCTGCGGAGAAACATCGGGCGAGGAGTGTTTACAGCATGGCTTATCTACGTGCCGCGCGCCAAGCTGTGCGCACGCCTTGAAAGCTTTCACCCTAGTGGCTAAAGACTACCCACTGTGTACACGTTCAAATGATATACAGATGATCCGTGAGCAGGCCATGTTCTGGCTGGGCCTTGACCAGGTGAGAAACTTGACCTGATTGAATTCCCGCAGCTATGCAAAAGACGTTACGTTAGTAGCACCTGTCGCTAGCTTTAGTTCATATGTTTTTGTGGGGGGGGGGGGGGGGGGGGCACGAACCATGAGACAAGTTCCACCAGGCCTTGTTGTAATTCTGTTTATCTCTGTTCAGGACGAGAATTCTTCACACACAAAGTTGCACCATGTCTCTATTTTCATAAAACTTGCCACGTATTCCCGTCATGTTAATGAGGAGATAACCATTTTGAGCCTACTCTGACTTCAGCGATTATGGCTTGTGCGTGTGCGTGTTTGCATGCATGTGTGCTTTTGCTCGTGTGTATTTACATGTGTGTGTGTGTGTGTGTGTGTGTGCGTGCGTGCGGGTGGGCGTGTGCGCGCATGTGTGTGTGTGTGTGTGTGTGTGTATGCGTGAGTGTGTGTGCGTGTGGCCGTGGGCATGTGCTTGCGTGTACTTGGTCTCTTGCAATACCTGCAGGATGCATGTGGAAAGCTGTTTGACCCGAGATCAGCCTCTCTTCCTTCAGGTTAGTTGGATGCACAATACAAACAGATCTGGTACTCTGGTACCGTGTTTGCATGCCTACGTGTGTGTGTGTATGCATATGCTGCACCTGCATTTAAGGTTCGACTACATCCAGCTTTGTGTCTGTCTGTCTGTGTTTGTGGGGGGGGTCGGCTACTTGGAGTTGTGTTGTTGTGCCTGCCACCTTTGTTGAATTCAGGGTCTATAATTATACTTTCTATTTGAGGTATACATACCTTTTCACCATGCTTCTGGCTAGATTAACTCTTGTGTAATCAATGGTCAGGCACGTAGCACGCACTGGGGCACAGTGGGTGCGTGCCCCCCCCCCCTAATAATTTTGACCTAGGTTCAGCATGCACATAATGACTATGAATGACATGCACCAGCCATCCTACACATATTATGCAGCCATGCACCCCCCCCCCCCCCCCTCCTTCCCTCCCCCACCCCTAAAAGGGGGGGGGCTGCTGTGCTCCTGATGGTTCTATTGAAGCTTATATCAGATTCAATCTGATTTGGCCACCCATACTAGTAGCAAGTATTACCTTCACTGGGAGCTGGGGTAACTGCAGTTGGATCCTGGGACGGATACCCTGATGCCGTAACCCATTTTTCTACACCTTTGTTCGATCAGAAAATCCCTCTTCTGGCAATCCTCATTTACCAGCATCAGAAGGAACACTCTGCCCAGTAGCATCACAGCCAGAAGCCACCTCAGCAGTGACAGGCTCAGTAGTAGCATCACAGCCAGTAGCCACCTCAGCAGCGACAGGCTCAGTAGCAGCATCACAGCCAGTAGCCACCTCAGCAGTGACAGGCTCAGTAGTAGCATCACAGCCAGTAGCCACCTCAGCAGTGGCAGGCTCAGTAGCAGCATCACAGCCAGTAGCCACCCCAGCAGCGGAAGGCTCAGTAGCAGCATCACAGCCAGTAGCCACCCCAGCAGCGGAAGGCTCAGTAGCAGCATCACTAACAGCATCACCGGCTGTGGCATTACTAGTAGCATCACTGTTAGCAGCAGCAGCAGCAGCTTCATTAGCATCAGGAGCATCTCCAATAGCAGCAGGACTGTTAGCAGCAGCAGCAGCAGCAGTCCTTGCTGCAGTAGCACTTTCAGCAGCAGCAGCACCAGTAGCAGCACCAGCAGCAGCAGCAGCCTCACCAGTAGCACTTTCACCAGTATCTTCAGCAGCAGCACCTCCAGTAGCACCTTCAGCAGCAGCACCTCTAGTAGCACCTTCAGCAGCAGCATCACCAGTAGCATCACCTTCAGTAGCAGCACCTCCAGTAGCATCTGCAGCTGCAGCAGCAATGACTACAGGTATGTACCTGACTGGGTGTTCATAGTGTATTTTAGATGCACATTTGACCAATTTAGCACAATAATTAATGACAGTCACTTTTCCAGCGTCACCACTTTGAATAGGACTAATGACTAGCTAGATCTTTGTCGGGAAAAAGGTTTTCTCATGAATGCCTCCAGGGCATGTTTCTTAGTGGAAATGGCTGTAAACACAGCCGACACGTCATAGAATTGCTATGGTGTCGCTGTCATATTTTGTCGCCCTGAAGCGAACATCGTCCGTGGAACAGGAGGAGGGGGGGGGGGGGAGAGGGGGGGCCAAAATCGTAACTTGGCCAACAAACTGTGTTCATTTTGGAGGTGTGAGGGGTTCGTCCGAGTACAAAATGAACCATGTTCGTTTCAGTGGCGACAATAAACTTCTGCAACAAACCGTGTGTGCGTGCCCACGTGTGTGTGTGTGTATATGTATTCGCTGCATCTGCATGTGTGTGTGTGTTTGTGTGTGTGTGTGCGTGTGCATGTCTCTTGGCCACTCCAATGGCATGCCGTCTGTTGCCTTGCAGCAGAAGCCTGTGCCAGTGTGGGCAGTAGAAGCGGTGGTCACGGTGCTCGTGGAAGCGGTCATCACAGCGCTGGTGGAAGCGGTGTTCACGACGCTGAATTCATGTCACTTGGTGCCATTGGGTTAGTGAAGGCTTTCCTCGCAGGTTTATATAAATAGGTCAAATACATTGCCTAGGAGCTGACCAATCAGCCACTTTCATTAACGAAGCGTTCGGGGTAATGGAAACACTGACAACAAGCTGCCTGCACATTTAGCGAGGGGATCTTTTTGATCACAGAATGCTGCATCGCATTTCAAGGCTCTACTGTCCACCGAGGTGGGATGCTACAGTCCACGGGGGGGGGGGCAGGCACTGTCCACTGGGAGTGGGGGGGGGGGCAGGCACTGCTCCCGGGGGGGGGGAGAGGGGGCAAGTACTGTCCACTGGGGGGGGGGGAGAGGGGGTAGGCACACTATTGCCCACTGGAGGGAGGGGCTCTCCTGTCCACTGAGGGAGGCTCTACTGTCCACCGAGGGAGGCTCTTCTGTCCACCGAGGGAGGCTCTTTTGTTGCGACCCTACATAGAATGTCGACCTGTTTCTAGTTTTTTCGTTTTGTTTTGTATACCACTCTGCACTGCAGTGGAAAGACACTTGATCAGATTGCCGACTGGCATGCGTTTGTTAGCTCGATTGAACCATTCATCGGTGGAAAGGAGGAAGGCGACGAGAGAGGTTGGTTGCTTTTGGACCCCGTGATTCATGTTTATTTCAATAATGCCGAGTGGTGAATATATTTTCTCCAGCAAGGACACGGCAGAGTTTCAGCTGTGTGTATGTAGCGAATTATGAGTAAACGTAGTTTGAAGTAGTTCTAGGGTCAACCTTATTCTCTGGGAGTGTAGGAGCCGTTCGATTGCGGGCGATTTTCTGAGAAAACGAGCGTGAGGCTGGTGGCCTAAATTTTCTTTTGTATTTGAACATTCTCGGTGACGTCCAAATATACTTATGGTGCGGTTCAACCAGGTGAACATATTTTCTGAGCCAGTGAGTTCCCCTGAGCTGCTTGAATTGTTTTGCAATACCCTCTTGTCACTGTATGCACGTGTATGTGTAGACTTTGATGAGGAGGTAATGTCCTTGTACATCGGTTTTTGACCAGTGTTCCTATTGAAGTCATGTCCCCTAAGAGTGGTACTGACTCCTGATTACTTTTTTGTTTTATTGCCACGGCTTGCCTTGGCAACCCATCAAGTGCAGCATCAGCTGCAATGAGCATACGTAACCAAGTAGACTCCACTGCTTGATGCAGGTTGTTGTTAACTTGGTGTGTGAACTGGTGTTCTACCTCTGTGGTTCATGACTGGGGAACGGCTTAGCTCACCTCCGCAATCTTTTAACCCTTTACCGGCAGCACCGTACTTGAATGAGTCGTAAACGACGCATTCGACATGCATACTTGGTCCGCGTCAGCAATATTGTCGCTTATCTTTCGACAATTTGAACTTAGACTTTGGACATGAACGCGTGCACTTGAAGTGATAAAACTTGGTACGATGGAAGGTAAGGTATAGAATGACAACTAGCTATGAGGAATTTATTGTCCGAGGAAGGGTTCATACTTTTTTCGGTCCTCCTCGTCGCTTCTCTCGGCGCTGGCGACAAATATTTTTGCTCGGGATCGATTCTGTTGCTTTTGCAAGCTCATCTCTCTTCCTCTCCGCTGCCTGGTTTTTTTCTAAAGAGAAGTCGATCGTGAAGGTCGCCTTCTCTATAGGACTTCGCGTGGGCAGCACGACAGCCTGTGTGGTTCAAATCAGACGCCGTTCTTTGCAAGATTTTATTTTGAACGACGACGACGCGTACAGTACTTGCAAATCTCCACGACGCGCTGGATACTTCGAGCGTTGAGCTGGAGGTAAGGGAGCAGCGATCTCAGCTTGATGAGCGATTCCTGAGGTGAGCGATCTCGGCCGTTCAGCAAAATGGAGCTGATTCCGAGTAGCCAATTACTTTTTTGTGGCTTGCGCTGCTCTTGCCTGCACAGTGTAAAAAGATAATCTATTTTGATGCGGCGCTGTATCAATCAGAATCACCCACCTGTCGCTCTCGAAATCCACTCAAACTCTAGCTAGACCTTTCAGGTACTAGTAAAATAACTTGCTAACCAAAATTGGGATGAAATTGGCTGCCAAGTAAGCATTGGCGACATAATAACAAAGCTGAAAGATAAGCGACAATATCGCTGACGCGGACCAAGTACTAAAACCATAGCTGGTATGACAGGAAGCATGAGCCCAGTACCAGTACCAGTACCAGTATCAGTACCAGTACCAGTACCAGTACCAGTACCAGTACCAGTACCAGTACCAGTACCAGTACCAGTACCAGTACCAGTACCAGTACCAGTACCAGTACCAGTATCAGTACCAGTATCAGTATCAGTATCAGTATCAGTACCAGACTTCCAAGAAAACATAACTTGCACATACAACATGTGGCCTCGTTGTGAGTTATTGGCATCCTTCCCAATCTTATGGATTTCATATACAAAATACACTTGCCGGTAAAGGGTTAATTATGTTTACGTTAACTGAAGCTGTGTAGAAGTTGGTTGCTCCCACACTGCAGCGCTATTCCCGTCGACCTGACTTGACCCTTGACTGACTCACGGTTGACTGTTTCAGTGTGGGAGCAACTAACTTTCTTTTACGATTATCGCCGAGGTCCTACCACGCTTTCGTGTTAAATGAAGCTCATTGTTCTTAAATGAAGCTGGTTGTTCTTCAGTGTAGCACATGCATGCACACAACCCACACCGTCCAAATGAACACTAGGACATTTTAGAAACGAACGTTTTCGTTCCCTTCTCTTCATGGTCTCTTACATGGAGTAAAGCAAAATAACTAAGACAGCAATTCTATGGGCAAAGAAGTGAGGGAGATAAACATCAGGCTAGAAGTGCGAAAAGTCAGCAGATCAAAAACAGTGTCATTGTTCTTTTCTGCCCTTTCTTCTGGTGATGTTGTAGCAAACTGCGGTAAGGCGGCTGTGCAGCTAGTGGCTCCAGAATACACAAACTACTACCGCAACGTGCTAAAGTCGTTTCACGAAATGAATAAAGGTAACATCGGAGGCCCAGGCAAAGGAGAAAACAACCTCTTCTGTATCTTGCTGTATCTGATGAAACGTCCGAGCACAACCGTCCAAGAGCTGTTTAACCTGCTGGCTGATAATGCCAAGCATAGTCGGCGCCGTCTTTTCACGGCAATCAAGTGAGTTGCAGGCTGAGTGTGTGTGTGTGTGTGTGTGTGCGTGCATGTGTGTGTGTGTGTGCATGTGTGTGTGTGTGTGGCGGGGGGGGGGGGGGGGGGGGGGGGGGGAGTGGCGGGGATAGTTTAGTGATCTGCAGTGGAAGAAGGTTGAGGCATCAGATCATGTTACCATGGTTTCAGCACACCTGTGTATAAATAACACCTAGGTATAAAATATCACCTGTCTTTTAAATTAAGACCCCTTCGAATAAAGACCCCCTTCGAATAAAGACCCCCTTCGAATAAAGACCCCCTTCGAATAAAGACCCCCTTCGAATAAAGACCCCCTTCGAATAAAGACCCCCTTCGAATAAAGACCACCTTCGAATAAAGACCACCTTCGAATAAAGACCCCCTTCGAATAAAGACCCCCTTCGAATAAAGACCCCCTTCGAATAAAGACCCCCTTCGAATAAAGACCCCCTTCGAATAAAGACCCCCTTCGAATAAAGACCCCCTTCGAATAAAGACCCCCTTCGAATAAAGACCCCCTTCGAATAAAGACCCCCTTCGAATAAAGACCCCCTTCGAATAAAGACCCCCTTCGAATAAAGACCCCCTTCGAATAAAGACCCCCTTCGAATAAAGACCCCCTTCGAATAAAGACCCCCTTCGAATAAAGACCCTCTTCGAATAAAGGCCCCTTCGAATAAAGACCCCTTCGAATAAAGACCCCCTTCGAATAAAGACCCTCTTTGAATAAAGGCCCCTTCGAATAAAGACCCCCTTCGAATAAAGACCCCCTTCGAATAAAGACCCCCTTCGAATAAAGACCCCCTTCGAATAAAGACCCCCTTCGAATAAAGACCCCCTTCGAATAAAGACCCCCTTCGAATAAAGACCCCCTTCGAATAAAGACCCCCTTCGAATAAAGACCCCCTTCGAATAAAGACCCCCTTCGAATAAAGACCCCCTTCGAATAAAGACCCCCTTCGAATAAAGACCCTCTTCGAATAAAGGCCCCTTCGAATAAAGACCTCTTCGAATAAAGACCCCCTTCGAATAAAGACCCTCTTTGAATAAAGGCCCCTTCGAATAAAGACCTCCTTCGAATAAAGACCCCCTTCGAATAAAGACCCCCTTCGAATAAAGACCACCTATGTATAATGACCACCTTCATGTATTTATAAAGATCACCTGATGAGTGCCTGAGATGGCATGAAACTTTAAGTTGTGACTGATCAAGCCATCTGTTGTTCTGACTAGTGTGTCACGGCTCTACCTTCCCGGTATCGAGCTCTCTTGGATTTCTGCTGGAATTCACAACAGTGTGTAAAGATTACCTATGTATACACTATAAAGACCACCTGTGTGCTTGAGAACGTTGGTGCGTTTCGAGATATCAAAATTTGGCGGGCAAAAAAACAAGCCATTCAAGCTTTGCACTCGATGTCTGTTGTGACCGCTCGACAGGGAGCACACAAGCCAGCTGAGCACCAGCGATAACAAGCCCAAAGTGGCTTGTTTGAGTGTGACCGCGGCGGCCTTAAGACCACTTGTGTATAAAGATCCATTAATGGTAAAAATGATCACCTGTATGTAAAGGGTACGGTGTATACGGGTATCAGTGGTCTCTGCACCTTCAGGTGAAGGGTGGGTTGGTTTGGGTTTGGGGTGGTGGGGGGATTGTTGTTCACTGAACCACAGATCTTGCTATGTTCAAGCTAAGTTGCTAAATACTTGACAATCAAAACATCTGATAATTGGCCTAATACTGTAGAACGTATAGTTTTTAACGGGTAAAGAAATTAGCATTCTCTGAATCAGGACCAATTGACAATGAAATATGTTAGTGACCCGAGTTTCAGAGTTTTAAGAAAAAGAAGATGACTACTACTGTACAGTAGTACCTGCTAAATTTCAATTGACGCGGCAAAACTTTAGCCAAAACACTCCTTTCGTTTAAATCACTAAAATATCACCTGCGCTTAAATTGGACTTGGATGGAGAGCCAAGGATTAATTTATAAAAAATAAAACGACCAAGGAACTACAAGTTACGCTATAATGTCCACTAACACCACCAGTTACTAAACAATCAGCTCATACGATAACATAGCATGACATGGACCTACGGTACTGACGCTATAATTAGCCATTTTACCATTTTTCAGTAACAAGTGAACTGTTGAGCTACAAGAAAAGTTAGCCTAGTTCTATTAGAAACGTGTGTGTGTGTTGCTGTGCTCCGTCTCTGTCTTTCGTCCGGGTCTTTGCTCATCCATTGTGCACTGTACCATGACAATGAGAAGTTCACTCTGCCGCTGTTTGACCTGTATCGTGTTTGTTTGCCAGGAATGCCGAGTACTTGAAACAATAAGCAGGAGATGAGGCCTTGTCCAGAGATGGCAGGGGGGGGGGGGGCAAGCGTCTGCTCTCCGACCCCCAGCCGCTCAGTGCCTCGGCCGGATCGGATTAGCAGCCTGGCCGCCCTCCGGGCAGCGTAGTGGAGCCTGATGTCTTTTGACCGGAGCGTTTGTCCTAGGCATCATGGGCGCTGTGTGTTTTCATTGCCAGTTGGCATGTGTTGCTGTGATCAGCTCGTGTCATTTTCCTTCATCATGAATTTACACATAGCAGTGATGTTTCTAATGTCTTGAAGTACACTAGAAACTCACATGCTATTTTACTTTGAATTGCAGTTAGTAAATTTTGAAAATAATAAACTATCAATTTTCAATCCATGTCAGACAATCAGGGAAGTTTTTGAAGCTCCTCTCATTCCCGCCATTAATGTAATAAGAATATTAAAATTTCAAGACACGCTTGCGTGAGCCTTTACTGAAACTTGACTAACGATATTGAGATCACCATGTCTCTGTGCGTTGAGCCAATCCACATTGATTTCATAGAAGCCTAACCTATCTATATCTTTGCAGACTTGATTTTTGTATCCAAATTCAAGACTGAAGATCTCACCAGAACTTAGTAGTAGAAAGCGGTGAATGCGTTGAAATAGGCTGGGAATTTCTCGGTTCTATGCTAGTAAATACAAATGACATTGCCTTACTCTTTTTGCTGTCATCGGCTCACTGCTGATGAGATATAACAAGGTGGAAACAGCTGGCTGTCTGAGATTTGAGTATTTTTTTGTTGTTTTTTTTTTGTTGAACACCTCCCTTTGGTGTCCCAGCAGCTGAGACTGCTGTTATCACCACCATGTCTTCACCCATCCACCTCCAATTCTAATTGCAACGATTTACTATTTTAAAAACACTCAATCAGTGTGTGACGTCATTGTTGATGTTCCCAGCTATCATAATATCTGTACTCTTCTCTGGCCCCTGTGTCTGTTGCAGCCATGTTCACTGCATGCTGCCCCTTACCTCCATTTTCAGCCTAGCATCTGCTACTGATACTAGGCTCGAGTCGAGATGGATCTATTTACAATGACAAGAGAATCTGATACAATGACGTAGACCAGGGTTACCAGCGTTACGAAGGGTACTAGGACTAAAGGGACTGTCACTTAATTTTTTGCTGACTACCCGCCAAATCTTTTCGTTTCACGTGTAAGAGACGTCCGTGTACCTCGCTACCTTTCACGTCAAGCAATCGGGTGGTGTCCAAACTAAATCGATGATGCCACACCAAAGGGTAACTGCGAATTAGTTTTGCCAATGTTTCTGTTCTTGGTAGGCATGGGCGAGTGATGCTAGTTATTTGCTGCGATTATGCTAAAGGCAATGCTCATAATATGAAGATATAATGCCACATAACGCTCACACTGCTCCAAAATGCCAGTTTGAAAGTTGGAAAAGTCGATTTAAGAAGGCCGTCTTGGATCAAGGCCAAAGCGTAGAAGAAGAAAAAAACTTTTATAAACAGCAGTGAGCATGTTGTCTGAAACAATCCACTGAGAAGGTTGATTTGCAACGTCAAGTCTCCGGACGAAGCCGGACGGGTTCAGATGCACGATTTTCGGAACTGGACCTAGCCAGTTTCATGCATGGCACCATTGTCGACCGGCAATTATGCTTGTAATGCCAATTTTGCGTGCGAAATGGTGTTTTAATGCCAGCATTATGCCACCTGGAAAAAAGGGACTATATTGCCAGCGAGTTGGTGGACAAGCCGTTGATTATTCACTCTCATTGTAATATCGAAAAGTATTCTTTCTAGACCAAAGAGTGGTATATTTGATAACATTTAATAACGATAGAAATGTTTTTACGATACTTCTCCAGACGTTTCGTTGTTCTGAACAACATCGTCAGTGGATAAAGAATGGAGGGCTTTGGGTGGTGGCACGGGTTAATAGGGAGTGATGGTGGTGAGATGAGGTGAGGTGAGAAGGTGAAGGTGGGAAATACATGTATCTAAGTTAATGGTGAAGGTTAGGTGCGGGTCGATACAGATGGGAAGGGGTACACCCTTCGGGTAGAAGTGTAGGTTGGTAGAAGGTGTGGGTGTGCGTAGAAGGTGGAGTGGCGTAATGGAAGTGTCGGGTTGATAAATGTGGGAGAGAGTCTAGGTAGGGTGTGGATCAGCAATAGGTGTTGGTGTATGTGGTGGGTAGAATTGGCAAGAGGTATGTGTGTGTGTGTGTGTGCGTGCGAAAAAGAGTAAGGTAGTGAGTATTGGTATGCGTGGAAGGAAGATGTGACAGAAGGTGTGCGCTATAGGCAAGGGGTGCAGGAATATTTTGAGGTGGTGGGTGGGACTAAAACAGGAGGTTGTGATTCATCTAGTGATATAATATCAGCAATAGCAGCAGTATATACAAAGAGGTGTGTGTGTGTATGCGTGTGCGTTTGCAAGCTTTTTGGTAGTGTAGTGTGTTGGGGGGGGGGGGGGGGGGGGAGAGAGAGCACCGGGTGCGGGTGTTCTTCTTCTATTGGGATCATTTTTGGATGGGTTGGCAGATAGTGGATGGTGGTAGGCAAGTTATGCCAAGAATCCAGTTCCCATATCTTCTTTTCTTCTGTTGATAGTTGGTTTCTTGTCGCGAATGGCATATGCCTCACGGATCCGGAGCCTCAGTTCATCCCTCTCCGTGAGCTGAGCAATCTCGTACATAATCTCTGGGGTGGCGTTCGGGTGTTCCCTAGCGTAGTGCACACCAAATGCAGACTTCTTGTCATGAGATTTTGCAGCATTTGTGTGCTCTTGGGCCCGGGTGTGCACTTGCCTCCCAGTCGAGCCGACGTATCTCTCGTGACAAAGGTGGCATGTAGCTTCGTACACGGCAAATCTGCAGGTGCACTTCTTCCTGAACATAGGGCATTCGCGCATTCTGCATTTTTCCGGTTCTCCTTTTTTCTTCGTGAGTTCTTGGATGGTTGGGGGTCGAGGGTTAACGAGGCGTGCCGTTATGCCGTTTTTCTTAAGTGCCTGTCGTACTTGGCCGCTAACCTTGTCGGAGACCTTGTCGGACATCCTTGTCGGACATCTCAGCTAACGCCCACTTGGATGAATCGGACGGCAGTAGTGGCGAGTGCGTTCTCCTTCCTCGGTGAACACTGCTGGACACTCTGTTTGATGATCCACCAAACACCATCGGTGCAAGCCACGTTTTTCGGCACCAGCGATACGTTCGTCCACCAATAATTGAAATTAATTTTTCTCACTTGAACACTCTGTAGAGCTGTCGCTGTCGTGACAAGGCCGTGTATACTCCAAAATCTACATGTAGGATGAAGAGTAACTGCTGAAGTTCGCGCTCGTGGACAATGCAACGCTGTCCAAAGTAAGTTGTGGCTCCACACTCGCTCAGAATGCTAATGTGTGCCCATGGAATACTAAAACACAATAGGCGCGGTGCAGCTAACATCCACCGTGGATGAAACGGACAACAGCAGCAGCTAGAGCGTCCTCCTTTCTCGGTGAACACTGCTACAAGAAATAATGCTTGATGATACACCAAACACCATCGTTGGGGGCCAACTTTTCCGGCACCAACCGGAACGAGTTGTTCGTCCAGCAACTTTGAGTCTTTCTTCAACACTTCGTAGAGCAGCCGCGCAAGGCCTTTCCTTAATTCACTTTAGGTTAGCGATCCTTCCTAGATGCTATCGCCAATATTACTTTTACTACGATGATACTCCAGTAGTGTTTCTCCGAAAATGAAGTCAGCTCCCATTACTGAGTGCAGTACTCTCACAACTACTAGTAGCACTAGCAGCTCGCCTGGACTTGTAAAAAATAATTTTGCAAAGTCTTCAATCAAGTCACTAATAGTTTGCATGTATAGCCAGCCATATGCCATATGCATGGCTGGCTACAGCGCGTACATGCAAATGAAATGATATGGCTGGCCATGTGGCGTGAACAGATTGCTTGACGTGAAAGGTAACGAGGTAGGCGTGAAACGAAAAGATTTTTTTGGGGGTATACCGGTAAATCAGCAAAAAATCCGCGATATGCGTGTTAAAACAAAAATAAGCATAACACTTTAAGGGGGCAGCCTACCCATAAATTTCATATGGCATTCAATTGACCGTAACTTTGGTGTTTCTCAATGGATTTGAGTGAATTTTTGACCACACACTCCTGCCACTATGCTGGCCCTCAGGACATGATTTACAAGTTCTTGCGCCTCACTGACAGGCTTTCCAGGCCGGAAAAACTCAAATTTCCGGCATAGTGCCACGGTGTGCGAGCCACCCAGGAGCCAAACAAATGCATTTACAATTGTTTCACATTTTCGTGCTCATTCTGTTCGTGCGCGGGACTCAAACCTAGAACAAGTCCAGAAGCAGCCATGGGTGATGGGGTAGGGCCCCTCAACGAGGCCCTGGAATCTGTCACAACGGAACGAGTGGGCGTTCTCTCACACACTCCCACAGACCCAAGTCAATTTTTGAATTTTTTTAGGTTTAGGGTGTGCTACGAGGTCGTACCTTTGATACAACATCCAGTGCTGGGACCTCCACAGCAAGCCATTTCCACAGCGCTGCACACCAAATCCAGGATACCCTCAGAAACCGGCAAAGACTACCACTCACGTTTCACTACTGCCTAGTACTGAATCCTACCTGACTTCTTGACACGACTCAAACTTGCCAAAGTCACTAAATCAATGTCAACAATCAAGCCACATATCTGCAACGTCACGAGGGTGCTGGCAAAAGTCCTGCTGCACGGCGGCGGGCTTCGCCCGCCGCCGTGCAGCCCAATACGTGGCTCAAAAACCTGATTTTTTGGAGCAAAATTCTGCACACTTTCACGTGTTTCCATGATACGACAAGTTGCGCACGGTCTGCTCACATTCAAATACAGTGCTGCCAACAAATGACAGCGTGCAACAAAAAAATCTTTCCTTGCAAGGGCACATTTTCGGCCATAACTCTTGAACGGCGGGTCAGATCGGGACACAATTTTCAGAGAATTTGCAGCTATTCATGCTCTTTCAACTGACGTAGCGCTCAATATGAATTTACAAATTCGATTTTTCAGCGAATTTTTGGGTAGTCTGCCACCTTAAAGGGGCACTCCGGCTTCATTTTCGACGCCGAGTTTTCGATGCCAAGACGAAGGTAGGTGAAAGAGAAGACCCCTCGAACAAGAACAAGTCTCCAGAAGCGATCGAGTCGAGCAGGAAGACGACTTTCGAATTTCGCCGAGCGAGCGCTGATGACGTAATGAGGGATTAGCTTGCCAGTGGAAATGCATCTGCGCACATACATTTCACACACTTTTTGGCCAATTTTCAATCGAAGAGGAGGTTGTTTGCTATGTTCTCTCAACGTCGTGAGCGATCCCGTCTTCTATACCCTTCCAGGTACCCTGAAGGTCCTCCAGAGGAGAATTTATCTCCAGCAACGCGTTGTTGATCCGCTAAATTCGTCTCGAGACATATTCACCCAGTGCAGTGCTGATAAATGTAGAATGTTGAATCTGTGATAATTGTCGACGATGGAGAGAGAGGTTGATAGCCGCTGTCGCAGGGAAAGTGAAGCTGCTGGAAGTAACAACGGGGAGCCCTTTTGTATCACCTGAACAACCAGACTTCAAAGCAGCTTGACCAAATCGGAGGGTGCCTCGTTGCTTATCGTGAATATTACACCGACATGAATTACTACAAATATGCTGGTGAGTTTTTATTTTGTTTTGTTCGTATGCTAGTACCCTGGCCTGGAGTTCTCGTTAGCAAATTCTTATTCCCTCATGCGTTTTCTAAACATTCCGTGTAGTACTGAATACGTGATCAAGTAGGTAGGCCGATTTGGGTAGATGTGGAATTTGGACATGTATTTTTATAAAAAAATTCTATT